GCGCCCGTGATACACGCGCCCATGACTAGGCCGACTGTTGGTTCCTCGAAGCGATCGACCTGTTGAGGTCGAATAGGTTGCCCGATCATGTATCTGGTCGAGCGATGGGTTACTCGATCATTTGTCTGGTCGTGCGATGGTTGGTCGACCACCTGCCTAGTCGACTATCTGAATGATCGATCCTCCCGCTTCTTGTCTTGGCTTCCTCCTAGTTCGGTCTTCTTGACCGGCTGAGCAGACCGGTTTATCCTTGAGTATATAATATCCCATATCATGCACAATGATTGAAATAAGTATGCATTTCGTATGAACTAGATATGCATCATTTTTTTTAATAATATAAACATCCCAGATTGGGATGGGGGGTTGAGGCTACACCCCCGACCTGTGAATATAATGGCCCGAAGGGCTAAAAAATCAATGGTCTACATCCAAGTCGAAAATACATAGAGCAACATCAAAAGCAGAAAAAATAAAATATACAAGGATCACAAAAATATCTGATGTGGATCTAAAACCAAATCCTCATAAAAGGTCGTCCTGGTCAGAGTGACCTGGCATGGAGTCCAAAATGTCAAATCTAGTCAGGGGCAGGTGGTGGCGGTCGACCGAATCTGAAGGATGGGTACTCTAACTGGTCCATCTGAATGAGCGTCCGAAGCCAGAGGGGAATGTCCTCAAGAAGAAGGGTGCGTCTCTGGGGTAAAGATTCCCCCGTGCTAGCAAGGAAATCAGCAGGTCGATTCCCCTCCCAGAATATGTGTGAGACCTGGTAATGGATCGAGCGGAGGGTGTCTCTAATACGCATAAGAGGATGTTGGATCTACCATGAGCCCTGGTGTCCAGATGTCAAAAGTGTGATGATGGCCGCAACATCCATCTCTATCCAGACATGAGAGGAGATCGAGGCGGCAATCTCAAGACCAATCTGGAGCGCCTGAATCTCTGCATCATAACTCGAGGAGGCCCGGAGTGGCCCATGGAAGGCAGAGATGAGTGCCCCACCATGATCCCTAATCAGGCTCCCTCCTCCAGCAGCTCCGGTATGTCTGTCGAAAGCGCCATCAGTGTTTAGATTAACCCATGGGACCTTGGGTTTCAGCCAAACAATGGTCCTGGGTCGTGGATGCTGGACAGGTAAAGAAGGTGGTGGCCTCAAACGATGGGGCGGTGTACACCCTGTCCAGTCTCTCGTCGTGAGTCTACCCAGGGCGGTGAGGAGAGAGAGAGGTGTCTGTCAACCTGCAGAATAATGTGAGCATAAGAAAATATAATATCCCTATGCTTCGCAGTATTCCTTTCTGTCCAGATGGCCCATAGGATCAGAGAAGGAATAAGGAAGCCCACGTGTCTACTGTGTGTGCGGTGTGAGAGAAAACTCAGAAGCTCAAAAAAAACTGTCTATAGTGGGTAGGGGTATATGAGTATATCTGGCATAGTGCTCCCACACTCTCCTCACAGTCTCACTCTCAAGGAAAAGATGGGTGAAAGTCTCGATCTCAAAGGTACCGGTCTCAGCACAACAATGGCAGCGAGAGGGGAAGGATAACCCTCTCGCCTGCATCACAGTGTCAATGGCAATGCGCCGTAATAAAAGGCGTCACAAAAAGACGGAAATGGTCAGGGTGAGAAGGTCGGTCCATATGGCCCCGAAGAGACAGTTTGGCCGGTTGCCCAGCCTCACATCTCCCCAGGCTGATGACGTAGAGAATGCACCCGAAGATGTAAGTCTCCACCTCATGCCATCCAAACCTCCCTCCAGAATGGGAATCTGTTAGATCTGGTCAACCTCTAGACTACTAAAACTCCCACCCTCACCAAGAATATCCTCCATCTTATCTCTATCCCAAAACCCTCTCGTCCAAAGGTCATTCACCTGCATGAAAGGCAGGTGAGTGACTGGCCTAATACTCGAGAGAGGGGCCTCACCGAACCACCACTCATCCCAGAAGCTAGCCTCCTCAGAACCTAAGGTCCAAAAAATGTGCTCCTAAGCACGCCTGCCAACAATGGTGAGCCGTCTCCACTGTCGACTATCCTGAGCGGTGGCTGTCACCCTGCAGGGATGGGCAGCACCACCAGGGCAATATTTACTCAAGAGGTATTGGGCCCAAAGGGACTTGCCCTCCCTGAGGCGCCACCACATCCTGTAGGAAAACGCAGTAACCATATCAGAGAAACGCCGAATCCCGAGCCCACCCTCAGAGTGGTGACGACAGATTGAGTCCCACTTCACCCAGTGGATCTGCCGTCGACCTCGCGAGCCCTCGCCATAGCTCCAAAAATAGCGGGCTAAGATCTGATCTAACTCATGAATCGTAGACTGGTGGGGGTCAAGCACCGCGAGAAGGTGAAGAGGAAGGGCATAAAGAGTGCTCTTGATCAGAGCAAGTCGGCCTCCAAAGGATAGGTGTCTATGTGACCAGCCAGAAATCAGGTCAATCATCCTCTGACGGACGTCAATC